AAGCTGTGGTGGAAGTTCATGCGAAAGTCAGTTGTTATTGTGCACACAATGTGAGGGTTCTCATGTACAATAGTCATTGTGGCCTGTCCAATATATTAACAGTAAAGTGTGTTAAAGATTGATGATTAACACAGATAATTGCCGTTGGTGACAATCTGGATCTTATGTGACTTTCATGAAGACTGGACTGTGTTGCATTTTTAAAAGATTATGAGTTTTCTAGGGCTTCTATCTTTTAGTTTTGGGGGTTTTCTGTTTGTAATCCTTTTCCTTGTTTCATGTTTTTCATTTATCTTTCCTGTTTTATTTGATACCTTCTCTTCGGTTGCAGACTACTTCACTTCCTGTCTTTGTGTGATTGTGTGCCCTGCCTTGATTGTTTTCACCTGTCTGTCGTTATCACCCTCCTTTCCTTGTGTATTTAGTCTTTGTGCTCCTTCCTCTTTGCGTTTGTGTCTGTTCTTAGGATCTTGCGTTCCAGCTCTTTTCCACTTGTTTAAGTCCTCCCATTGTTTGGCTATTCTGGGTGTTTTGGGATTTACGTGTGGACTTCTGGCCTCTCACAACTGTAAGTAACTTCCTCATTAAACTCTTTTTGCTGACTCTTCATCAGTTCATGTGCTTTAAAGTCTAAACTAGGTGGCAACATCCAGTTCTGTCAAGTGAAGTCAAAGCTTCATGTGTTAAACCTGCATTCTCTCTAATGTCCACTAGGGGGCGACTCCTCTGGTTGTATAGAAGTTTATGAGAAAATGACTCTACTTCTCTCTTGATTTATTACCTCAGTAAACATTGTAAACATGAGTTTATGGTCTCGATCTCTAGTTTCAAGTCTTCTTCAACACAGCATGATGTTCATTTAGTACATTATGGTCCATTTAGAGTCAAACAGACCATAAAGCAGGGGATGCTTTAGGGCGGGGCTACATTGTAGAGCAGGGTCATTCTTCAATCAGAGGATCGGTGGTTTGATCCCCGGCTCCACAAGTCCATGTTGATGTGTCTTTGGGCAAGACACTTAACCCCAAATTGCTCCCGCATACTGTTCCTGCGGTGTGTGTGAATGGGTGAATGATGAAATGATGAAAAGCATTGTGATTGACAGGTCTCTACCATGGTGTTGTCCGGTCTGGGATTTGTCTGTGTTTCCGTTTTACAACTTTAACCTTTTCACGGCGTGTTTTGACTTCATGATAGTTAATTGTAACATTTGCTTAGATTTTCTAAAACGCATCCATTCAGACAACGGTGGTGTTTTTTTTTGTTTTTTGTTTTTTTTTTTGTGTTTTTTTGCATGCGATTAATCTGCACTTCATTGCCATTGTTTGAATTCTACGGGGAAAAAAGGCAACAGAATATTTTACTGTAACAAGGCAGTTTTTTTTCTGAGCTTTCGCACCACTAATATAGGCATCAACCAATCATGTTGTATGTAATCAACATATTTAAAACGTACACTACAGCGTACATTAACACTGAGGCTTCTTAGTCCGAACCAAGATGGCCAACTGGCGGTGCTTTGGTGTGCGCGAGACGTCAAGGAGTGGTGACAACAATGGCGGCTCCTCAAGAATTTAGCATAGATGCTGCAATAGCATCCATTTTATTGGAGCTGGAGAGTTTTTATTCATTGAAAGAAGAGCAAAGAAAGTACATTGAAGGCTTTTCTCTATGGAGAACATGTTTTTCTCTCAGTTTAATAGACGGGTGGTTCATCCAATCACCTTCCAGGTACTTTTTGAAATTGCCTGCTCTTTTCCAAAGATTTTCCAATGACGACTTCTCAGATGGTTCTGTATTAAAAACAATGAGGCATGTCAGGTTAGGTATGAAGCTAATATTTCACATTTTAGTGTTTATTTGTCATGGCGCAACATGGAACCAAAGCAGTGAGGTAAAAGAAGTCACAAAACCTTTTTGTTTTTGCACTGCTCGTTGACCCGTTTCATGTTACACTCCATTGAATACCCAATGGGTGGATTACTGGAAGGAGGAATTTGAACGGTTAATGTTTTGCAGTACGTGGTGCATTTACCTCAGCTGAAGCGCTGCGTTGCTGAGAACCTGCAGAGTCATGAGTCCCTCCCTCTGACACTGCTCTCCTGGTAGACCCCGTTCAGCTCCAAAGCACTCAGCGTCCTACAATTCTCACAGGCACAGCTCCACGTGTTAACACTGCATAACTGGGAGTTCAGCTTATAGCGAAGGACCACCTGTAGGAATAAAACAACTCAAACATCCACAATACAGAAGAAGGGAGCTCTGCCGACTGTTTACTTCATGTATCCTTGCCAGTGGTGGAAAGTAACTAAGTACATTTACTCAAGTTTTTATTTACTTTCCTGTGTTCATTTAAATTACCTTCATCTTTTTTTAATGTTTGCTAGAGTATTCCCATTTTCAGCTACTTGATACTTGTACTCTACTAAATCTCAGAGGGAAATATTGTACTTTTTACTTAATATGTTATATTAATTTAATGGCTTTATGTGCTCTGCAGATTCAGATCATTATTACAAAATATTAATAAACTAATAAATGATTTTATTTTTATAAATGGACCTACCCAGCAATATGTAAAGTATTTAAAATGAGCTCCACCTTAACAACTGCAATGTTAAAATGATGACCGCAGCAATGCATCAATGATTATAATCTTATATGTGTTATTCTGAATTGGGTCAGTCTGCATATTAAGTACTTTGACTTTTCTATATTTGATTGCAAATACTTTTGTACTTTAAGAGTCTGAGGTAGCACTTTACCTTGTAACAGTTTTCTACAAAGTGAGATTAATCATTAAAAGCTAAAGAAACTGCAGTTATAGATGAACGTACCGAGACAGAGCCATTGGGGTTCGCCGTTTTTGGGTAAAATGTCATTACTGTCCCCAAGAAATGAGAGACCTGCATGCTGCATGCAAGCGGCATCAACAGCAGCAGATGTTGCAGCCACATAATGAAGGTACCGGAGATTAAATCCAACAACCACTAACGCGCACTGTTTCTCTCGCAATGATGTAGCTCTGTCGGCGTCTCACTCACAACAATCCTCCTTTGCTCAGACAGTGAACCAGGAAGTCGGTTGGTGTAACAACATTCTTCTTCTGAGTTATGAGATAATGATCAACAGATTTGGTATCTGGTATTTTTGCATTAATATTTTTTGTATATTCCAAAGAAAATATACATGGTATACCAAAGAAGTTCAACCTGCCTCAGCAGCTGCTGATCCTGTTCTACTCAGCCATCATCCAGTCTGTTCTCTATCACTGTGTGGTTCGGATCAGCAACCAAACAGGACAGGAACAGACTGCAACGGTTTGTCAGGTCTGCAGAGAGGATCATTGGTTGCCCTCCTGGACTTGTTCACCTCCAGAGTCAAACGGGCTGAAAGATCACTGCAGACCCTTCACACCCTGGACACAAGCTGTTCCATCTCCTCCCCTCTGGTAGGCGCTACAGGGCTCTGTACGCCAAAACCACCAGACACAGGAACAGCTTCTTTCCACTGGCCGTCACTCTCATGAACAATAAATAAGTTATACTGCACTATTACCACCACTTACAATTCATGCCATTGTCTATAGATTTATGTTCACGTGTGTGTGTGTGTGTGTGTGTGTGTGTGTGTGTGTATATGTGTATATATATATGTATGTATGTATGTATGTATGTATGTATATATATATGTGTGTGTATGTATATATATATATATATGTGTGTATGTATATATGTGTGTATATATATATGTGTGTATATATATATGTGTGTGTGTGTATATATATATATATATATATGTGTGTGTGTATATATATGTGTGTGTAGATATAATTTTATACTTTTTTTGCTACCCTTTTTTATACATGGATTTTATTGTAAATTTGTGTTTGTACATTGAGAGCGAAGTGGAAACCGGAGACAAATTCCATGTATGCGTAAGCATACTGTACATGGCCAATAAAGCTGATTCTGAAATGACACATGGTAGAAAATAAATGAATACAACTATAAAAAGACATAAATGTGGTTCTCTACTTTTGAATGTACCCATGTTGTTGTAAAACTTGAGCTTGTTATTTTGTAATCATACTCACCATTATAACTGAAAATGTACATTTTCATATATTATTGTAAACCTGTCCTTTGGTAAATATTTCAGTACACAAAGAGATTGCTGAACTGTTTGTTATTGCTTTGTATGGTTTAATACCAATGCTGTGCAGTTATTCAGTTTCAGATGTAAACACAAACAACAGCCTCCAACATGAGTGTAAAATGTAATCACTCAAATATTGAACATTTTAACTTTCATTTTGGTATGATTGATGCCAGGGCGTTTTATTTATTTATTTTTTTTTTTTTTTTCTCTAGCTATCATTGTAAGTACAGAAGGAGCATTTTTAGTGTTTGGGAGATTCTAAAATTGGCATCAATACCGTATGTTGTCTTTTCTAATACAAAACCAGCTCATCCCAGCTGCTGTGTGAAAAACTGGCTCAAGCAGACGGACCAGTTCTTCACAAAGAGCTAATGTGCAGCACCTGATGTACTAAAACTGCACCGCTGTAAGCGGACACCAGAAGGTTTTGACTCAGTGGTGACGTCGACTATATCTACGTCTGTCTCTGTTTATCTACTCTCAGATAAACAGACATTTTTGTCATATTTTGAAGTGCGTAGTGAATTTGTGCTGATATTTACTTATTCGTCAGTTTTCTTGTTTTAATTTACTATTGGCTGGTTTGTTATATTTAAATTTTTCATTTGCTTGTTCTGTTTTTATTGAGGAAACATTTGTCCATAAATATATGCATGTAGTTATGGCTTTATTTATGTTTAGTGTGTTATGTATAGTGTTTGTGTGTGTATATAGTGATACTCCAATGTGACCTTTTGAAAATCCAATAAATGAAAATAAAAATGTCTGTGTGCAAGTTGCTTTGGCTTTATTAAAAAAAGACAAATAAGTAAGCAACAGACAGAAAATCAAAGGCAGCAAAAACATTTAAAAACGCACTACAACGACCAATAAACATTTTTAAATATTCAATATAATGACCAGATTTTCTGGCTAATCTGGAAGATATATTTCATAACCTGTGCCATATTTTTTCCACAAGGATCAATAAAATTCATCTTGCAGGATTTATTCTTATGTTTGTTTAACAGGGAAAGTAAAAGTGCTGACATTGCCGTTGTCAATTTGACTCAAATGAGAACGGAATGCCCATGCAGGGGTTGATATAGTTCCACGTTGAATCAACAGGGGGCGCTGTGGTTGTACATGTTGATTACACACTTCTGACGAGGCTTACAGTCATGTCTGATGGCAGCCCTCTTCTCACCAGTTCATCTCTTATCTGGAGAAGAGAAATGCAACAGTGGTGCTGAGATGTGATCACTGCCTTATCAGATTGTTCAGTGTAAAGAGGGATATCTGTGATTGTTTTAATGTGTTTCTGAATCATCGAACGTCTTTATAGTGAGACCACTAACGTATAATTAAGCCTCCAACTAGCCACAGCAGGTGCAGTTATCTGACGCTTTGACATGCTTTGATTTCTGGTTAGATAAGAAGAGGCTGACCTGTTGTATGAGGGTGCTCCTGATGTCATCCTCAGACAGTGGAGACGAAGACGAAAGTCTCATTCTCAGAGCTACAACAACTAGAAGCAAACATTATAATGCAGGTCAGGGGGGTGCTGAAGCTGAGTAATGCAGCAGAGACACATGGTTCCATTCTCAGACAACTCATTGTTCCCCCTTAGCTCCCATCCTTAGCTATGTATATGTTCATTAAGAGATAATTACATAATGTACAACATCACCATTTAACATACTCACTTGTGTTTAAAATGTCTGGTGTAGTGGATAGTGGTGTAGTTGATGCAGAAGAAACATTTTTAGTTGGTTTAGTGCTGGTTGCAGTTAGTGGGGTAGTTGTTGAGGGAATGTTTGCTGTCATTTTTGCGGTTGTCGTAGCCGGCGTAGTGCTGGTTGCAGTCGTCGAGGGAGTGGGGGCTGTTGTCTGTGCGGATGCCGTAGCCGGTGTGGTATTGGTTGCAGTCGTCGAGTGAGTGGGGGCTGTTGTCTGTGCGGATGCCGTAGCCGGTGTGGTATTGGTTGCAGTCGTCGAGGGAGTGGCGGCTGTTGTCTGTGCGGATGCCGTAGCCGGTGTGGTATTGGTTGCAGTCGTCGAGGGAGTGGGGGCTGTCGTCTGTGCGGATGTCGTAGCCGGTGTAGTGCTGGATGTTTCAGTTGGTAGGGATGTTGTGGATGGAGTAGTTGTTGTTGCTGGTGTGGTTGTTGTAGTGATGATGGTTGTTGTCACTGGTGTAGTTGGTAGACGATTGGTTGTGGTTGTCATTGCTTCTGTAAAAAGAAGTGTATATTAAAGATTACAAATGAACTTTATCAATCGAGCAATATAAAAACAAGGAGGAGTTCCACTCACCGATTCCAACACTCACAATGACACATCGGAGCTCAGAGTGATACTTGACTGAACTGTGGAGATAAATCAGTACGATAGATCTTTTACAAAATTGTGTCAATGATCCCAAATTATTTTTAGATATTAAAAGTCAGTCTTTCTTGCCATAGCTCTCCTTCATATTAAAGGAATAGAGAGAACTGCTTCTGACACGCACTGCGTTGCATCTGAT